AACTTCCAGAAGCAGGATTTGAGCAGAGATCCTTCTGTCCTGACCACGGAGTGGGTGGGACCACAGGAGGAGAGCTGTGATAACCACCAAGTGGTCAAAGGCGGAACTGCATAGGAAAAGGGCAGATTCCAGAAAGGTAAAAAAAAAAAAAAAGAAGAGAAGGGAATGCTCATGTGCAAGATGAGAAGAGAACCATCTGGGAACTGGAGAGCAGGGAGGACTGTCTGAGCAAGGCTTGACACTGGAGATGGAGAGGCCAGGGGACAGGCTAGGCCAGTGGAGGAAGGTGAACAGGGGAACAAGAAATGAGAGCCGGCTGAGGCTGCAGCCAGACAGGAAATATGAGAAGCTCACATTTCACGTGGAAGAAGGAAAGCAGAAAGGAGGCAGGGCCAAAGAATTGTTCCTAGGACAGAGGCTGCACCAGAGTTCTGCTTCTGACTCTGACCATTTTACTCTGCCTCAGAATTTTCATTTCTAATGGAGCTCAGTGAAGACCCTTATCTAGAGCTCTAGGAATATTATGCAGAAATAACAAGCAACAGATTGGAAAATGTTCAGATTGCTTCACATGGCTATTTACACTAGGTGAACCTAACTAATCTATTCACAGCCAACATAATGGTAGCTGCAAGCCACATTTCCAGTCTTCTTACTCTCCGGTTCCATGCATTACACTAGTCATTCAACTGTCACAATGACGGAGCCACTACCCTACACTAGGGATATAGGATTACAAAAGGAACCGAGTCATAGTCTCTGTGTGCAAGTTGTTCATACACAATGTGGAAGACAGGTACCTAAAAATAACAATCTGTTGAGAAATGCTATGTAAGAGATATTAACAAAGCATTACTTGAGGGGCAGGAGAAGGAATCCTCCAGCCATTTCCCAAATACACTCCCATCCCTTCTCTGAACTGGTTTATTTAATCTAGAATTCCCCTTCCCAATCCTGACACCCAAGCCATCCCTCGAAATTTTGACCATCCTTCAAATCCCAGATCAAATGCTATTATTTCAACAAAGCAGTTCCTAATCTTAAAAGCTGGAATTAATTTTTCCACTTTGTGTGCTTC